GTTCTCCAATGTGAAAATTGGAATTCCAGCTCTTAAAATAAAGGAGTTTCCCTTGGAGCTTGAAAAGAGATTAACTTTTTCAAACTTAGTGGTTCTTGTACTGGGACCAGGTTGTGTCTGTACAGCGAGTGTCTTCTATCCATAGAGGCAGTTCATCGACACTACAGCTGTGACTGAATTTGTTTTTTGATTTTCTTTTAGGAGAATTAAAAAAAAAAAAAGAGTTCATGGGTTAAAATGCTTTAAAATAATAGTGACAAATGTGATATCAAACGGGTTGTCATTCCCAGCAGCTGCCTGACACGCATCCTTCACAAAACAGATCAGCGCCGCAGAGCTGCTGCTAACAGACGACTTCATTTAGCGCCCTTTGAAAAGCAAATAGTTCCAAATGGCTCGGCCGACTTTATTCAAATTAGTTTTATTTTTCCAGATCAATGGAATACTGAAGCTGCCACATAAGCTGTTAATACACTGTGGAGGAACTAAACAGCGAGCCTGGCTGCGCGTGGCACTCCTCCAGCCGCTGACTTTCCTGGACTCCTGCAGGTGCCAAAGGCTATTTTTCGGACTGTGCACACCCAGACCTAATTTCTGCACTGATATAAACACTTGCAGGGGCTCATTCAGCACCGGCTCACGCAGAAAACATCTCCAAGACTGACAGCCTTTTTCTCTGAGATGCTTGAATCCAGATATGCGCTTAAAGAATATGAAGCTGCGTACAAAAGACAAGCTTTTCAGTGAAGTCAATAAAAACCTCAGGCCTCAGCTTTCAACAATGCACGCATCACGGCTGCACAACTTAAAAATACTGAGTCGCGCCGAACACAATGGAGCGATGTGCATAAAGCCACGCTGCCTCCAACTACTGTGTCTGGTATTAATAGATAGTACACTCATCTTGGAGCAGGTAGAACTAATATCTGCAACCATCTCGCCCCGCCGTCCCAGTCATTATGCAGCAGCTCGCGATGCCTGATTGGATTGTATGAGAAATTAATTGGACTCCTGTGATAAACCAATGCAGAGAGAGGAGGAGATTCTTCTGCGGAGGGGTTTTCTGGGTTGGAGGTATTCAGAAGTTCATTTTGTTAAAAAGACATTAGGAGATGAGGAGGAAGGGGCGACGAGGCGAGGGGAGATAGCGACTTAATGAAAGTTTCCTTTCATGCCCCTGGGTTTCAGAGGCAACTCTTAACAAGAGCGAGGAAGATGAGAGCGAGAAGCGCTCGAGCATCTCTCTGTAGCAGCTATTGTGCAGCCCGTTACAAAGAGTTGTGCCCATGTAGGCCACAGACATGTTTCTCCTTGGAGAGCTAATGAAATAAATAAACCACGATAACTTTAAGCAGCCTGTCTTGATCTTTCATAAACCGCAGAAAATGCCCGTCAGAATCCTCCGTAAACATTTCATCAAACGTGGCATAGGAGGAAACTACCTCCATGTGTGATGTGATGCATTTTAAAATGAGTAAATTACACTTTATGACAAACAAGCGACCGCATCAGAGTGAAAATGACCTCCTCTGGCCTTTCAAAGTGCTCCGTGTGAAGGTCGCTTCAGATCCACGGCTCGGTCAGGGCCGTTTACATTCTCAGTTAATTAGCAAAATGTTAAAGATTACTATGATGATAAACAGATGACTGACATTGCCATTGTGACCAGGTTAGCATTAGCATGTAGCTCAAACATAAAGCATCGTTAGCTCTTTCGTAATTCTGTGCTTTGAATCTGTATTGTGCCGTAACATCTGTCCTGTGCCAGACTATCAGTCATCTTCTCAGCTGGTAATATTATATATCTACAGACGTTCATGGTGTCATCTCCTTCTCACCTTTTGCTCTAATGCAGCCCCATATCATCACATTCCCACTTCTGTGCTTCACTGTCAGGACGATGCAGTCACTGTGGTAGTCATGGACATTTATTTTGTTTTGTTGGCAAAATAAATAAAAAATAATAATTAAAAATAAATAAATAAATAAATTAAAAAAATTTAAAATAAAAAATCATTAAAAATAAAACTAAATAAAAAATGAAAAAAATAAGAAATTATTATTTTATTTATTTGTCCTTATATTTCTACTTTTATTAGCCTTTTCTTCTATGGATTAATTTTTTTAGAAATATTGCTTTATATTGCCACATTATCTATTTTTTATTTTATTAATTCTTCTTTTTATTTCCACTTTTTGATTTATTTGTGTAATTTGGCACTCTCACTACTCCATAACATCTGGCCATTAAGTGTCAAAGCAAAACCTTTTCTTTTTTTTCTTGGATGTCGTCCACAGATGCTGACGTTATGCAGATCCAAAACTGAGAAAGTTCTGGTGTCCACAGCTCATTTCATAACTAATTAGGTTAATTAGAAATCTCAGATGTGCTTAATTGTGTTTCAGTGATCACATGTATTTATTTTTTTGTGTTTCTGTGTTTTTTAATATTGTCTTGCTAAAGGATTTGTTTTTGATTGTTCAAATGCAATTATTGCGAGGTCAGACTATTCAGAATCACTGGGCATTGAGGTGATTTTGCACCGGAGCGTACTCACTTGTGTTGTGTTCTGTACGTCACAGTGCTGCTTTATGCTAAATGCTAACGCTAACACAGTCAGTATAAAAATGACAACACTAACCTACCGATGCTCATAATGTTCCCCATGACAACAGTCTTATTTTAACATGCTGTCAGGTTAACACGTCCTGAAAAGTCAGAGTACAGATGAGGCTGATGTTTTGCAACCATTTAGTGATAAACAAGAATATTGGATCAATTAAGACCAGAGAACTCTTTAAATGTCTCACTTATTGTAAAAATGAAATGATTCAGTAAACAGTTAAATGCTCGCTGTGGTGTCCTTCCTTTTTATCCAGTGGATTGTAATTAAACTCTAACTACACTGATTTATCCCTGCAGTAGCTGTAGGACTGGGCAACAACCTGCAAATCAGGTCAACATATAGGATGCACATAATATAAGTTGCATGAAAAATCCTGCAGACGTGACCTAAATGTCATGAGCTGCATTTGGCCCTGATGGCAAAAATCAGCTTCTGTAAAGAAAAATTTTCAGTTGATGAGGAAAACATGTTCTAACATGGTCACTGTGGCCCTTTCAAACACGTTTAGCATGTTGACATTGTTAGTTTTGTGTGTTATCATGCTAATATTTGCCAATTAGCAGCTACGAGTCAAAGACAGCAGACGGGGTTCATTTAATGTCTGTTTTGCAAGTATCTGACCAAAAATCTACTGGGCAAATGAACAATAAAACAATCTCTGAGCCTTTGCTTACTTGACTATTCAGTTAACACTTTTAAATCTTTGGTAAATTTTCCTCCCTGAGACACAGATCTGAATACTGCCTACGCATTACTGCAAGCAGCCTTCACTGAAACACTGCATCCTTCATTTGGTCTTGAACTAAATTGAAATAAATTCAATATAACAACTTAAACCTAGAATAGCTGTTGTACGTAATGCAGCAGCTCATAAATCAGGTCAACAGTGTACGAATACTAGAACGGACTATTAATTAACTAAAGTAGTCAGATTGAAATGTTTAGCATACACAGGAATCAGTGTGTAAAATATTACAGTCCTCTCCTGATGAATGTAAATTACCCTGAAAAACCCACTAAACTGCCTGGGAGGTAGAGCAGATGTGACCTCAGCATCATTAGCAGAAGCTGAATGACCCTGAATGCTGTAAAAAAATAAAAAATCATTTTAGCTCATTTATCTTTCAGTAAAGAAAAGAGAAAACCTTTGACTGTCGACACAAAGATTTTCTCAGCGACCGAAAGCAGTGGGGTTTGTGAGACGTGTGGATTCATCTTCAGAAGGCCGACGGTGTTTAGAAAGTACAGTACAACACGCGAAAAGTCAAAAAGAGGAACAGCGGAGGTGGACGAGAAAACAGAGCCAGCCAGTGTGAGAGCTCAGCTGTGTCCATGTTGTGTCAGGAGGCTGATGGATGACCTGCTTCATGCTTTCCCTCCAATCAAGACCATGTGATCTGTCGGATCAAATTAGCCCCGGGGTGCTGCATCTGGATGTCCAGGCTCAGCTGTGCGCCTCCCTCCTGAATCAGATGTCCTTGCTAGGTGAGCGCCGGGTCCTGCGAGCCGAGGCGACCTGTCTGACTCCGAGACGGCATCCTTGATCAACAGGCAGCTGCTGCTCTCGACACGCAACAAACACAGACGGACGCCGACGACCTCGCAGCTTCTGTCTCCGCTGATTGCATGCCTGTTCGCTCAAGCATCCATCACAAAGTTGTTTTGTCTAATTTCTAGCCATATATGATAATTACGCTGACAATTAACTGCGTTTTAATTAAAAACAAGATGAGAATCTTCCAAATAGATGAGATAATGGCACATTTTAACCAACAGCTCGTTCATTATTCCGGCTGTGTTTCACCAAAACATTTTAAGTGCTGCTCATACCAACATATCTGAACCCGTGTCAGGTAGCACACTCTGTTTAGCATCTGAGTCCATGAGGAAATATTAGCATGAAGTGGCCAAAGAGAGAGAACGAACACAGCTGTAATGAAATATCTTCATATCCTTTCAAATATTTATTGAAGAGTCACTAAAATAATTGTGTGCTTATTAAGTGCTATGTGAGCTCTGTAGGTTGATTGGGGTTAATTAAAGATTATGCAGTTTTATTATAGAAGGATTTCTCATGTAGCTAATTAGAAAAACGCACAAGCTATTGTTTACACACACAAACAGCTTGTTAGCGGACGACCGGTGGCTCCTGATGCCGCTCTGTCTCTGAGCCCCACAGTCCTCCATCACCAGAGCGAGGACCGGGCCAACGTGGAGGAGGCCAAGAAAAAAAAACGCCCCAGCGGATGTTTGATGCAGGTTTAATCCAGGCCAGAGGCTCCATAGCTCTCTATGAGATCGGCCCTTTACCCGCTTACCAAATCCACAAAGGTGAGCCCGGGACGCGCTCAGAACACAAGCTCAGCGCCTTACCTGCTCCAGTTTCCAGTGGAACTCGGCCGGTCTGAAGGTGTCCACCTGGGTGAAGTCTCTCCTCAGCAGAAACACCAAGCGGCAGTTGTGGACGTACAGCGAGTAGTGGTGACGGTTCATTTCTGTGGGAGGGACAAAGAGAAAGGACCGGATCACCTGTCAGGTAAAGCTGATCTGAAAGCGCACAACACTGGGAGAGATCGCAGGAGTTTTAAAAATCTAAATAATCTCTTTGGGAAAGGCCGACTATCGCATAGCTGAATTAAGACTGGAGGAGCTTTTCAATGTCAGCTGTAGCACTGTTTGAACAGACCCGTCCTCCAACATCCATCCTACACTCATGGACATTCTTACATTTTATTCTAGAAAAGAGGTCCATGTAGCTGCATACTTTGATGTACTCATAAGTATAAAATAAGCAAAAATAACAGACAGCTCAACTCTCACGTTGCATCTGTCACATCCAGGAAAAATTCATCTGTGTACAATTATAGATATTTTATTGCGCTTTGAAGGCTTTTCCACACAAACAAGACGTGTCAGAGGGATCAGCTGAGTTGCAGTTTCTGGTCTCAACATGGAAAAAGTCAAATGTATTGCTTGTCTTAGTGGCCTTTTATTGTCCTACTCGCAGCAGCTCGTGTCTTTCTCCCTGAGTTTCTTTGCGATGCCAACAGCGTCTCCCTCGTCAGTCGGCCGCCCTGGTGCGGTGCAACCAAACCTCCGATCCGAGGACCGGTTGGCATCGACTAATCCGCTCATTTGATTTGTGCCACTCTGATGGAATCGCGGGCTGATTTGTGGTGCTCTGATCAGATCAGCTGCAACACGTTGGTGGGAACTCGTCTGTCTGAGGAAAACAGCGTTAAAGACTGAGGGAGATGGTGTTCTGTGTTTTTTATTTGCCACAAAATACTTTTAAACATACTTTGCTGTGTGCGGCTCTAAACCTCAAGCCCATCGGTTCTTACTGTAGAATTCTATCTTTCCCAAAAAGAGCTGGGCGCTGTTGTTTTTTTTTTGTTTTTGTTTTGCAAACTTTCCTCACACATCAGCAAATAGGACATTAGTTTGGTATTAATGCACGTTTTAGGGAACATTTCTGGCAGCAAAAGCAAACCTAAAGTTAACTAAAGTGAAGTGCCTGGGGCCAAATATCAGTTAGACACATCACAGGGGCACATTTCAACTGTTTTTGGACTTCAGCTGAGATTTGTGACCTACATCCAGCAGAATAAGGCCCCGTTTACACACAGCAAAAACTGTGATGTTTCAATGCCGTTGGTTTACACGTAAACGAAGCTACAAGTCACCCAAAGCGATCATTTCCGAAAACTCCGACCAAAGCGGAGACTTGGAAAAACTCCGTCTTTACCATAGACTGTATAACAGATGGACGCAGCGACCGTGACGTCACCTGCTGGCTTCTGCACTGAGAACATGAAGCCAGGGTTTCGCTACTTCCTGGTTGACATCTTGGATTTTTGGAGCCAAAAATGTTGGAGGGGGGCGGAGCCAGAGCTTTTTGGAGCCAGTAGCTAGTGGACGTAGCGGTACTGCAGGTTTCTGACACTTCATTTTCATGGCCGGTTGCTACGTCCATCTTTCTTATGCAGTCTGTGGTCTTTACGTAGACAGCAGGAGGCGGAGCTTGACGTCACAGTGTGCGATAAAAGCGTCATCAGTGTGCGACCATGTTTAGAGTTTGTCAGTTTCTCTGTCGGTCCAAACAATCGACCCTCGCGCCATTATCGTTGAAGTAACAGGAAGTAATTCGTGCTATTCGTTGTTGGGTTTTTCCAGAGTTCTGATTGGCTAGCATGGCTTTATGCTTCTCGTCACACTGCCCCCTGTTGGTGTGGCAGCTCATAGCCGCTCTTATCGACGTGTTTAAGCAGGTTTGTGTAAATGAAGATTTTTTTGAAAACGATCTGGTGCGAACAATGTTAATTTTTAGAACGTAGATCCGTTTTTGTAAATACCCAACTATGTATGAACGGGGCCTTAGTAGAAATACTTTGTTAGTGGTTTAAGTCTTGTGATGTGGCTCAGGTGGTGGAGCAGGTTGTCCATTTATAGCAGGGTTGTCGGCTAATGCCTCCACATACCAAAGAGCGTTTGGGAAACACACTGAAGTTGCTCCTGATGGCAGCTCTACTGCCTCTGGTATGTGAGTGTAAATAGGAAACACCGTAGAAGCTCTTTAAATGTCACTGAGGTGCACCACATAGGTACAGTTAGATTCCTGGGATTTTCTGATCAGAAATAACACAGGACTCACCGGTCTTGTCAGAATTGCAGAGCAGTGTCTCCTTCTCAGCTCTGAGCCCGGGACTGGGCCCGTGCTTCATCCACGTTGCTATGGTGAACTGGTCCGTCAGATTCTGGGGTACCACCCAGTCGGGGATTTTAGCCGCCTGACGACCGTCAAACCTGAAGATCAGGTCGCTGTCCCGCCCGCTGTCAGTCACCAGGGAGGCTGTCCAATTGGTGGCGGCACTGGGAGCAGGGAGAAGGTCAGTGCTGCCTGATGAGGCACCTGGGGGTCATTGCCATGGGAACAAATAAAAGGAGCGACAGGAGATGTGTCAATAACAATCATGGCAGATACGCAGTGTATATTGCCCTAACCTTGGCAATGATTACTTATGAGTAAGGCAGATGGCACGGCTTAATATGTAATCAATGGGCCGAGATGGATAGAGGATGTGGCTATTGATTCATGGCAAATGAAACTAACTTTCAAAAGGAAAGAGATGTGAGTCATCGTTCATAAATTCACAACATAGCTCACCACTAAAATGTGCCTCTATGGAAACAGAGAGGACATATTGACCGAGCACTATGGTAACACAAAGAGAAGAGACACAGCAAGGACTTGGTGAGAAGGACATTGTGTTGTGTATCAACCAATCACATGATTTGTTTAGAGCTGACACTTTTGTTATATGATCCCCACACATCCTGACAAAACACTCCGATCATTAATGCGATGCATTGAGTCATCCCACTGCCTTTCTCATGTTCTCTTTAAAAACAGCTCCATCATTCCTTTGACATAATAACCTCAGTGTGTTCAGTCCTGAATGATCTTTGTTTTCAAGCTGTCACCTTGACGAACATTGTTTCTGCCACATAGCTCTCACTGGCCCTTAATGTATCTGACATGCTTTTACTGATCTGTCTTTGCCTTTCCATCTGACAGTGAAAACTGCATTTCATGCCTTTAAAGCACATTTATGAATCATTTGTAACAGCTTACGGGTGGTAATGACTCAAACCGATACGGGAACCATACTGTTCCGAGAAAAAATGGGCGGCGTAAGAATTTACAATGTCTCCCTTGTCCAGGAAAACAATTGCAACATGCATCTGTTCATTTCTGCTAATACCACAACATTAGCACATTAATTGATGTTTTTCTTCCGTCTGTAAAGCTCTGTTTTTCTCTACCGCATACTCAGGGTGCGTTCTGACTCCAGTAATTAGATTCCCTCAGTAAATAAATACGCATCGACTTCTCCAGCACCCAGCTGCAGCCTTCTCTTTGCCCGATGTCTTTGTACATTATCTCAAATTGATTGTGCTTTAAAAAAGCAATTACAATTTATTCTATTTGCTATCAGATAACGATTATGAGGTGCCTGAAAGGGACTCTTTAGTGGTAAACCATGCATGGACTGGGAGCCAGGGGAGGCAGGGAGGGGGTGCCGTGCATTCAGATGAGCTGGAATGTGGCTTGTGAAGGCCGTTAGTCAAAGATGATGACTCCAGCCCCCCTGCTGGCAATGCAGCGTGGGCAGGGAGGGGGGAGCCGGGAAGGCTGGGCTGCTCTGTCGGCGCTCTGGGCACTGACACGGCGGCTCGGCTGCTCATCAGTCACTGAGGAGAAAGCGTGGCTGCATCTGGGGCGGCTAATGCCCTCGCTCTGTCACATCATTAGTGACACAGCTTTAACTTGCCATTCTGGTGCCTTCATTTAGCGCAGGGGTTTACCAGGGACACAAGTGGAGATAAGAATGCAACACGGACCGGCAGCTTTTAGATGTTAATTTAAAAAGGGGCAGAGAAAACGGCACCTCGGGCTCCGTCTGACCCTGGTACTGGAAGTGTGGACTCCAGTGATGCTTTTGGCTGGAGCTTACTTCTAATTCAGTCCTCTAACTTTTAGTTTGTTGCCGCAGCCAGAAGCCTTTGATCATCCGTCCACTGCATGTTCTACATATCTCCTCAACTTACTCACAACACAAACACCACTGAACAAACTCACCACAGAGCTTCTGCAGAGATTTCTCCGAGTAGGTTTCCCGGTCGCAGCCCTTCCCGATGTGGCTGGTCTGCAGCTCCACGGTGGTCCTCACAGATGACAGAGGCCCGCCGCAGGTCTCCAGGTGCATCTTGGGAAACAGCTGCTTGCTGCCCGTCCCTGGCTCGTAGTCCACTCGTTTATTCCACCCTGAGAAAAGCGAGAGATGGAGTGATAGTGTTACGGCTGGCAGAGAGGGTATATTAAAGCGCAGCGTCTGTTCTTTGGAGAGGAAACACCAGCCTGATCCAGATTATGATCTGTAATAATATCTGATTTTCACAAACCTACTCGTTGCTTTTGTTACGGCATGGTTTCCGCCTCATTTTGTCCATTTAGACTACCATCAAAACAGGACACCAATTCCAATTTTTCACTGTCACCGGTATTTTTGGCATCACAACTCAATATCCTTCTGGCAGAATGTGGCCGCCTAATGAAATTGCTGCATTGTTGTTGGAGTGCAGTGCAGTACCTGCATTAGCAGCAATAGTCATTACGCTGTCACTGTCTGTCCTGTCAGCTGTGAATTGTGTTTTTCTGTCAGGGCAGGCTATTAGTTTGTGTAGCGGTGATGCTTTCACTTTCCCAATCATTTTTTCAGCCTTTGTGGCGCGCATATGTGTTCGTCTGCAGTCGCTGCCAGAGATAAAACGAGAATGAACTGAAAATTATGTCGCCTGTTTAATGTTTTCTGGAGTTGTGTTTACAGTGAGCCAATCTCACTCATTATCTCAGTTTCAAAACAAAGCAGCTCCAGCAGATCGGTAAACGCTGTCAGCATAGATTTCCGGCATTAGCTCAGTCGGATGTCTGTCACTCTATTTACATCCCTGCCTCTGTCACGCAGCAGCACCATTGCATCATCACTGATGAAACTAGTTACACCGACACCGAATTAATTGGATGCCCGGCTCTCAACCGCTCTGTCCCGTCCACGCTGCCTGTGCACGCAAATGAGTTCCAATCCGTCCGTCCTGTTATCTCTCCGTCTATCTATTGAGCATTACTGGCTAGGAGCTGGAGGCACAAGCATGAAGGCAAGCTGACTGAAGAAGAAGAAGAAGGGGAACAGCTCTTTGTTGCTCGCCAGACTGTTAAATCTGCCATGCTCACTTCCTCACACACACACTCACTACGCCGTGCACAAACACACACACGCACTGCTTCTGTTTTGTAGTTGATTTACCTTCCCCAGCCTGCAGTCGCTGTGGGCTGCTGCTGCTCTGTTACTATGGGATTGTCAGTGGCTGTGATGAAAATAGGCACAAACAATGGTACATACTAAACAAGGACAAAAACACATGCGTGAGCACAAAAAAACACAAACATTTCTGTAGCTTTCCCTCACACACACACAGTCCTCTCTGCACACAGCCACTGTGTACGTACGCACTAATCAGCCTCTACAACCACCTGCCTCATTTGGGTTTTTTCCCCTCGTTCCACCAAAACAGCTCTGACCGGTTGATGCATGGACCTCTGCAGGTGTCCTGTGGTATCAGGCACCAGCTTAGCAGCAGGTCCTTTAAATGTCTGGATGCTCTGAGGTGGGACCTCAATGCATCGACTTGTGTTTTTTTCTTTAGCACATCAGGCAGACTCTTGATGGGAGTGTGGTCTGGAGAACACCTTGAACGTCTTGTTGTCATTCCTACACAACGTTTGCAGAGTGAGAAAGCACATTGTGCTGCTGAAAGAGGCGACTGCCATCAGAAATACTGCTGCCACGACTGTTTATAGAGGTTTATAGATGAATGCCATGTTGCCAGGTTTCCCAGCAGAACACTGCCCAGAACATCACACTGCCTCTGTTAGCTTCCCTTCTTCCTATACTGCCTCCTATTGCTGTGTTTTCCCCAGATAAACAAGCACCTGGCTGCCCGCATGAGGTGTAAAAAAAGCATGACTTTCTCTAACAAAGCATAAAAGCTTCCCGGTCCAGTTTGGATGTTCACATGCCCACTGCAGGGGCTTTCAGTGGTCAGTATGGACCAGTGTCTGACCAGTCTGCAGCCCCGTGCACGACAAGCTGTGATGCACTGTGTGTTCTGTGATCCTTCTATCATAGCCGACATTAAAGGTTCTCTGTTATTTTTGCTGTCGTGGTTCTTTTGTGGGATCAGACCAGCCTTCACTCCCCACGTGCATCACCGGGTCTCCCTTTTGAAGACTTCTGGTAGGTTCTAATCCCTGCAAACCAGAAACCCCCAACATAACCTTCTGTATTGGACATGATCTGACCTGTCAACGTCTTTCAGGTAACTGCGTTGAACTTGTGCATTTTTCTTGCATCACATGAGCTTCAGAAACTGACTGGCAGCAATCAGCTGCTGCCTCATATTTCCTGGCCCTTGACAGGAGCCATTGTAATCAATGTTCTTCACTTCACCTGTCAGTGGTGTTAACGTTTTGGCTGATTGTGTGGAAGGATAAATGGTCCCACTTTTTGATTACTCCCTTTATGTAGCATATTTTCATCTGGTCCCCTTAACAGCTTGATGGCTCAAAGCTAGTCAGGAGTTGACGTACTGGCTGATTGGTAAGCTGCTGCTGCTGTGATGCCGTTTTTCAGAGGCAGCAGCAACGACTGCTGAAACGACATCCTAAAGCAACAGCAGAACACGGGCAACTTTTTAGCTTAGAGTGGAAGCAAAGCAGATAGACTAGATAACCTTGGTGATGCAGAAAGTGATTTTTAAAAAGATTTCTGGTTACAGGTGGTGTTTGCCAAACGCATACCACATGGGTGCAAATTCACTGAGTAACGAGTTTCTTTATTGGGATCCCAGCTGTCCAGACGGTTACTCAGGGTCATGCTCCTGCTCCCTTTTCCTGCGTTCCCTGTCTATCCCCATTGAGACTATCAAAAAGAAAGCACAAAAGTCCCAAGAAATAAGCTTTAACTTTAACAATTCTAGTTACATTTAGAGCAAATCATCAGTTTTTTTCCCCTCTTGGTTTCTCTACAACATCAACTTCTTCAAGTTTTGTGTACTGAAGGACAGATTTGACATTTGCTGACAGTTTAAATAAGAAAACTGATACCACTGTCTAAGCCACAACTGCTGTTGCACTTCTATTTTGCACATAAACCTTTTCTACTCGGATGTGTAAATTCTTGTATATATTTGTCTTATTATCTTGTTTTATTTTTTATTCATATTTATTGTATTGTATTCCTTTCTTTCTGTAGTTATTTTTACTTTATTTTATTTTTTTAAATTTTCCTATTTCTATTATTCGTGCAAATTCCTACAGCCGAAACCAAATTCCTTGTATGTTGTGTACGTACTTGGCCATTAAAGCTGATTCTGAGTCTGATTCTGAAGAAGCCCAAGCCAAGAGACAGCTAGCTTAGCTTAGCATAAAGTTTGGAAAAAGAAGGAAATAGCCAGCCTGGCTCTGACTAAAAGTTTAAAGAAAAAAGCAATGTGACGACCAGCGCAGACAAAGCTGTCGTCTGTGCTTGTTGCTTTGGAACTGTGTGGTGACAACCGTCCTCCTGGACGTCTGCTGCTGCACCAACCGCAGGGTGAAATCACAGTTTCCAGTCTTTATGAAAACCTCCAACACAGTAAAATGTGCTGGAAGTGATCGACTAACATTAGTCTCAACAAGAAAATCGCCTTTTCCAAAATGTGAAAAAATGAACACATAGAGATGACCTCATTTATTAAAAAGAGCTACAAAATCCACTGGATTTTAACCGTTGAATCCGTTTCCATCTCTTTGTCTTTGCAGTGCTGCAGAGTGAAGCTGCACCTTTCAGCCGGTTGGCTTTGGGGAGAGGCTGAAGCAGACACTCCACTAATAGGCTTGTTTGAGATGAACAGCACCTTGCTTGGAAAGCAGATGAGAGCGGGCGGCGGCGGCGGCAGCAGGGGGCAGAGACAAAAGGCTGCAGTCATGTCGGACAGATTCCAGCAGCCTTCTGTCTGTGCATGAAGTCACAGAAACACTCATATCCTGTTAGATCTGATTCCGATTTAATAAAACACTATCAGACCCGTATATCCGCTACAGACTGTACGCAGCCTCCAGGGCTCCTGATCACTGCTGCTGGTTCCACCTTCATTTCACATCAATGCTCATAATCAGCGTCACACTGATTTGCTGCTGCGTATAAATCTGTTGTCACATCTTTATCGATTTTATTTTTACAATCCTCACATTGAACGTCGATCTGCAACAGACGAGAACTATGATGATCTGATCAACCACACAACACGTCGTCTGTTCACAAAATAAACCATCAGAATCGGAATAACAAAGCCAAGCGCTGTCCGATTGAACAAAAAGACAAAACCGCCTCTACGACGTGCTGATATTGCCGAGCGAACACGTGAACCGGTCGGCTGCTTTCCCGTCGTGCCCTGAGGCCGTGCACTCAGCGGAGAGCCACTCCGAGGCCTGGATCTGAAAAACTGCAGCTGCCTTGATCTCATGTGATTCTGGTTGTCAATGTTTGCGTGACGTCAGGCCATGTGGGGATCAAGTGGGATTGAAATCTAACTGGTATGCATTGCGCCGGCGGTAGATTCTGTGCGGGCCTCGCTCACCTCAAGCAAACTTAATAACACAGTCCACAGATAAGTGAGAGTAAAACGACCTGTCGGTGACTTGGCTTTAGCTCTGAGGACGGGAGGGAGGGCAGGACGGAGCGGAGTCTGGTTAAGGATGCATGGAAAGGAGTGAGGGAATGAGGAAGGATAAACGAGGGGTAATGAGTTGAGGACGTGGAGCGCATTCAGATAGGTGAGAAAGGCTCGGCTTGAGCTTGGAAGTAGGTGATTAAGGTTTATGGGTTAGAGAGCACTGGACAAACACCAAGGTAGTAAAAGGCGAAGGCTTTGAGGAGAGATTAGGGCGGTTTCACTCTCTTCACTTCTTAGGAGTTTTTAATCTCATGGAAGACTGAACGTTTGTAGTCTGTTTGTCTGGAGGGAGGAGTGACCAGAATCTGTTCACTGGACCCGAAACCGTCTGATGTATGGACACCAAAAC